TGGTTATCAGGTAGTCAGGATGCCATGCAAATTAAAGGGTAGTGAAATAAACAGAGTGATAGCGTTCCAGAAGGCACAACATGCAAACATCTGCTGTGAACTGGTCTGAGAATCAGTTGGATCCGCTCCCATTACCCTCTACCAAATATTTACTGCCTTATTAGGACCTTCCCCAGTACCCATCATAACAGAGCTGCCCACTAAAGGGTGACTCACGATGGACTCAAACCCTTAGTGCATAACATGTTCTGTTTTGAATTTCTTGAAGGTTGTTTCAAAAACAGATGGCTCGCATTAAAAAAAAAATTGTAACACGACAACTGTGTGCCTACTGCTATCATACATGTAGCTGTTAGAGATGTGTGCTCACCAAGACACACCAGCATTGGTTTTGTTCTCAAATAATTGTTGTTCATTTTCAAGTGGCTGCCTTGAATTAATGTAGTAGTAATTTCAGTCATTTTTATGTCAGTGTTGATGAGAACTGTTTCCTTCTTTTCCCATTCCTACACTACTAATTCAGCAGCATCTGAATAAGTAGTGAACCTAGCACGAAACTTACAGCGTGACCAGTATAGTTCAATTCCTGAATCAAAATGAGTGTTTTTAGTGAATCAAACAGAGCTTGACTGATTGTGAGACTTGTAGATATTGACTGGCTGTTAATACTGTATGACATTTATTTAAAGAAATACATTATAACGTTTGGTCAATAGCATTTTATAAAAATAACAAATGTTACCACATTTTTTTGTTTAGTATTGTTGTTAAGACTAATTTTAGAAATTAAAAAAGCGTAAAAGAAATTAAGTCTGTGTAACACGTTAACACTCCTTTTGCGATAATTGTTTTAAATTAATTTTGCAAGAATTGTTTAAATTAACTTATTATTGAAATTATTTCATCATTTGGCAATTCTTTTTTTTTTTTTTTTTTTTAAAGGGGTGGTTGATTGCGATTTCACTTTTTAAACGTTAGTTAGTGTGTAATGTTGCTGTTGGAGCATAAACAATATCTGCAAAGTTGCAGCGCTGAAAGTTCAATGCAAACAGAGATATCGTCTTTTAAAATTCTGGCGGTTTAATGCCTACAAAAACGGCTGGTAAGGGACTACAACGAGCTTCTTCCCAGGTCCGTTACGTCACGAACCCAGATAAACCCCGCCCCCGGGAACACGCAGCAAAGGGGGAGAGGCCATGTTGTGCTGCTTTACAGAAGAGGAAGAGAAAACTAGTGCACGTAAAAATCTGTTCATATATGAATCGCGATTCTGTCTTCTAACGATTCTAATGGATTCACACGTTTCAAAACCAATGTTCTAAAGCAGCGGTTCTCAATCCTGTTCCTCGCGTCGCCCTGCTCTGCATAGCTCTCTCTCTCTCTCTCATTCAGATCGTCAGATCAGCTCCAACAAATTGTTCCATTTATACACTTATTTTCACATAGCTATGAAGAAGCGTTATACATAGACTCTGCTGTATTAAAGCTTTAATCAGAATAAAACCATATATTAAAAGCTAACAGAAGCTTTAATATTTTCCCCCTACCAAATATTAAGAGAATCATTAACAGAAACAGTAAGGAACTGGAACATACTGTGTTAGTGGTAATGAAATTTGCATTTTTTTAGTACGTCTATATACGGTACATCTATGTGTAGTGAATATACAGACATGGTTTTTTAGGCCTGATGGTGAATCCTAAGAAGCTGCCATGCTAGAGCTGCAGCAGGCCCTGGTTCTGTGGGAACAGCAAAATGAACGCCATTACACCTGACAGCATATTCAGTTCCTCAGACATCGTTTTGACAGGTGAGCTTCTTCAGGGTGGATAATTGTATCCCGGGTCTGTGGCACACTGCTTATTATTGATTCATGGGGAACAGAATGAACTCCTTGTGAATGTATAAAAATACATTTAAAAGTCCATTCTCCTCGACTAAAATCACAGCCCCTCAAACGACGTGCTTTTGTCACTCCCAGTTTGCTTTCTCTGCCAGCACTGCTTTTAAGGGCTTGGCAGAGAGGATTGAGCATATATTTAAAGAACCTGACAGGTCGGACAGTAATGCAGTTGTCTGGGCTTTTATTTTCTACATGGAATCCGCTTTGCTAAGCCCTGGTACATTAGAATGAAGTGCCATGGCGGAAAGGAATGGAAAAAGATACTCCCTGCATAAAAGTTTTACATTGCTAAAACCATGCTAAAAGAAAAATGTATATATATTAATTGTAATTTGTCTTGACGCATAAGGCATAAAAAGCTTACAACAATTAGCTAGGACTTTAATAAATGAAATTATTTCCTGTGCACAAAATTATGTTCTAATTTATTGATTTATGATGACATTAAATAAAAAATGTAAGCAAATGTAAGTGAATTATATTAAGCCTGTTACACACAAATGTTTTTGACATCTGCAAGTTTTTCCAGCCAGAGTAAACCATAGTCAACAGTTTAAGACAAAGCCTCAGGCCCAAAATGGGCATTACAATCTGGCTTCCTCCACAAACACTCCAGATTCCTTTAACAAGCTCCAAATTGCAAGACTTTTTCAGTTTATCACCAGCATTCCCTATAATTTCTGCTTGTGGCATTGTATATCCATCATTGTAAATGCACATAAAATGCCACAGCTGTGACGTTTTTAAGAGGACACACCTAGTCAGACAGGAACGCAGAAGAATCACATCTGCTTCAACACACACTACAATAGCAACACAAGCAGAGCTGGAAGCATCACAGCCTTGGGTACAAGCCTAACTCATGTTGTTTCTTCAGTCAAACACGCAGTGTTGCAGTGCAGCTTCAGCCACAGCTGGAAAGCATCGTGAACATGAGGACAGGACTAGTGTTCTGCACCCAACGCAACGCAGTGCTCAAACCTGGCACTGGCTTTTATTCGCTCATAAAAATGTGTAAGGCCTGATTAGCTTCCCACATTTTCAGAGGATAAAGGAATTAAGGACCAATTTCCTGGTGTTGTAAACGTTAATGCTGAGAAAGAGGATGGCTGCTTGATTTTTGCAGGCTATATTTGTAGTTGAGGTGGTTGGAAGGGTGATCGTGTCAGGGGCAAACCCATGAAATATCGACAGATGAAGAATGTAATACTCCATTAACGTTAACTGCCTGTGTTTGGGACGTCTGGCTTCTGTATCCGCTTAGCGTGGTGCGAAATATCACTCTTTTCTAAAACCGTGAGAGTGGCTTCTCTAAGATAATAACTGTGATAATTGAGTTCAATTGATACATCTACCAGTCGATTCTTCAATACCAGATGAGAGACGGGAAAAGAACGGCGTCAAATCCAAACAAAACAAAACCTCTCAAAGTATGCAGATGTAACCCATCAGTGATCATTTAGAGAATAGTCATTGACCCGTAACTTCTACAAGGAAGTAGGAAATGACTAAACATCCATGTTGTTACCCATTTGTGTCAGTGGGATCAGTGGGACCACAACCAAAAACTTCCTGAATTGACAGGAAATGCCATGTGTGTGGTGGCTGTCTGGCGGGAGCGTGGGTACAGGAAAGAGGCAGGGCCAGAGCAGAGGACTGGACTTGGCAGACCGGCACTCTGCATTTTGGGACGAGCCACTCGACATGTGAGAGCCCAGCCTGGCCATTCATCTACACCAGCGTTGCGCGCCTCCCTGTGATTAGCATTGTCCTCTAGCAGATGGCCCATCATCTGTTTCAGGCGGCAGAGAGAAAAAGATGCCACCGCGAGAGCAGTGCTTCATTCTTACTATTGACTCATAAAGCGGCCATTGTGTTTAACCACATTTGTGCAGAATGAGGTGATCTGCAAATATGTATTTAAAAAAAAAAACGTCACAGTATTATAATCCATATGATTTATGCAAATACAAAATAATATTTGATTTTTTGTTTGACTTTCTGACTTTCACTTTGTGAATAACTAACTAGTGCCATTTCCTCTGCATTGATAAATTGTAACAATATCAAGCCAGCATCAGCAATTCACAGGGGCTTGCTGTATTTATTTATTTATTTAAAAAAACTGTAATAATGTTATTAAATGTGTTAATTATTATTATTATTATTTAAAATAATTAAATATATTAATATATTTTTAAAGGTAATTTGTCCTGTGATGGTAAAGCTGAATTTTCAGCAGCCATTTCCCAAGTCATCAGTGTCACATGATCCTTAAGAACTAATTTTAATATGCTGATTTGGTAGTCCAGAAACATTTCTTGTTACTGTTAATGTTGAAAACAGTTTTGCTGCTCAACATTTTTGTGGAAACTGGGATACATTATTTTCAAGATTATTTGAGTTAACATTTTGTAACATTATAAATGTCTTCACTTTCACTTTTGATAAGTTCAATGCATTCCTAAATGATAGCCTGTAAATGTATATATGCAGTTCTCAAAAATGAAATTTATATTATTTATTTTTTATGAGGAACCTAAAACTATATATATATATATATATATATATATATATATATATATATATGAA